TTCTTCGTTTTTTCGTTTGTTTTTTTCTTGTGCTAAAGGATTTTTTTTTCTTTTCGTTTTTAAAGTATTATTCGTTTTCGTGTTTTTTTTATATATATTCTTCTTTTTTCGCTTTTTATTATTATTCGTTTTTTTTTCGTTTTTTTATATTTTTTCGTTTTTTTTCGTTTTTATATTCTTCGTTTTTTCGCTTTTCATTATTATTCGTTTTTTTCGATCTTTTCTATCCTTCATTTGGTTGTTCCAGAAAGTTTCCTTGGCTTAAGGGAAAATGTATGAAAGGAAGGAGGGAGAGAGGGGGTGAGGAAGGGAGGGAGAGAGGGGGTGAGGGGAAGGGAGGGGAGAGGGGTGAGGGGAAGGGAGGGAGAGAGGGGTGAGGGGAAGGGAGGGAAGGAGGGGTGAGGGGAAGGGAGGGAGAGAGGGAGTGAGGGGAAGGGAGGGAGAGAGGGGTGAGGGGAAGGGAGGAGAGAGGGGTGAGGGGTGAGGGAAGGGAGGGAGAGAGGGGGTGAGGGCAAGGGAGGGAGAGAGGGGAAGGGAGGGAGAGAGGGGTGAGGGGAAGGGAGGGAGAGAGGAGTGAGGAAGGGAGGAGAGAGAGGGGTGAGGGAAGGAGGGAGAGAGGGAAGGGAAGGGAGGAGAGGGGGTGAGGGGAAGGGAGGGAGAGAGGGGGTGGGAAGGGAGGGAGGATGGGGTGAGGGCAAGGGAGGGAGAGAGGGGGTGAGGGGGGAGGGAAGAGGGGAGGAGAGAGAGGGAAGGGAGGGAGAGAGGGAGTGAGGGGAAGGGAGGGAGAGAGGGGGTGAGGGGAAGGGAGGGAGAGAGGGAGTGAGGGGAAGGGAGGAGAGAGGGGGTGGGGAAGGGAGGGGAGAGGGGTGAGGGGAAGGAGGAGAGAGAGGGGTGAGGGGAAGGGAGGGAGAGAGGGGTGAGGGAAGGGGGAGAGAGGGGAAGTGGGGGAAGGGAGGAGAGAGGGGTGAGGGGGGATAGGGAGGGAGAGAGGAGGTGAGGGCAAGGGAGGGGGCAGAGGGGAAGGAGGGAGAGAGGGGTGAGGGGAAGGAGGGAGAGATGGGGTGAGGGGGAAGGGAGGGGAGAGAGGGGTGAGGGAAGGGAGGGAGAAATGGGGTGAGGGGAAGGGGGCGAGAGGGTGAGGGAAGGAGGAGAGAGGAGGAAGGGGGGAGAGGAGGGGGTGAGGGGAAGGGAGGGAGAGAGGAGTGAGGGGAAGGGAGGGAGAGAGGGGTGAGGGGAGGAGGGAGAGAGGGGGTGAGGGGAAGGGAGGGAGAGAGGGGGTGAGGGGAAGGGAGGGAGGAGGGGAGTGAGGGGAAGGGAGGGAGAGAGGGAAGGGAGGGAGGAGAGGGGTGGAAGGAGGGAGAGAGGGGGTGAGGAAGGAGAGAAAGGAGGGGTGGGGGTAAGGAAGAGGGTGTATATGTCTCAGATTATAAAAGTGTATGGAATGTGTATAGTCTGTTTTGTTTGTATAAATCGAATCATTTGTGTATGAATTATCTATTATCTTTTTCAATCTATCCATTTATCAATCCCATTTTTTCTTTAATCTATCCATTTCTTTCTTTTCTCTACTTAGTTATTTTCACCGGTCTCTCTCTTCCTTATCCTCAAGAATGATAAAATCAGCAAAATCAGCAACAATAGTAATATTACAAACAAACAAAATCAGCAACAAAGAAAAAGAAAAAAGATTCACCAATTGTCTTTCGACCAAGCCAATGGGTTTTCATGTGCCTCTAGACAAAAAAGAGATAGAGATAGATAGAAGGATAAGGGAGGGAGAGGGAGGGAGGAGGGAGGGAGAGAGAAGAGAGAGAGAGAAGAGAGAGAGAGAGAGAGAGAGAGAGAGAGAGAGAGAGAGAGAGAGAGAGAGAGGAGAAGAGAGAGAGAAGAGAGAGAGAAGAGAGAGAGAGAGAGAGAGAGAAGAGAGAGAGAGGAGAAAAGAGAGAGGGAAGGGAGGAAGAGAGAGAGAAAGAGAGAGAGAGGAAGAGGAGAGAGAGAGAGAGAAGAGAGAGAGAGAGAGTGAGAGAAAGAGAGAAGAGAGAAGAGAGAGAGAGGAGAGAGAGAGGGAGGGAGGAGAAGAGAAAAAAAGAGAGAGAGAGAGAGGGAGAAAAGAGAGAGGAGAGAGAGAGAGAAGAGAGAGAGAGAGAGAGAGAGAAGAAAGAAAGAAAGAAAGAGAGATTAGTAATTTAGTAAATTAAGAAATAATAATGAAACTAAAACTCACTAAGTGCCGTCTTCTTGACTGACACCAAACTTCTAGTAAACAAAGCTCTGGCATTTATTTATTCTTCATTATATCATATATATATATATATATATATATATATATATATATATATATATATATATATATATATATATATATATATCACAGTAGGATTGACTTTGATACTGCGAATGATGATAATGATCATAGCCATTATAGTAAAAAAAAAATCAAAATAATGGTAATAACGATGATAATATAATCAATAACAACGATATGATATTCAATTGCAGCAGTCTCTTTCCTCTCTCTCTCTATCTATTTATCTACCTATCTATTTATCTATCTATCCATCT